AGGGCGGCGAGAAGGAGAAGAGATTGGTGTTCTTTGGCAATGTGGGGAATGTGTTTGATTTAGAGGATCTGTTGAGGGCATCCGCGGAGGTTCTCGGTAAGGGGACGTTCGGGACGGCGTATAAGGCGACGTTGGAGACGGGGATGGTCGTCGCCGTGAAGCGGCTGAAGGAGATGACGGCGGCAGAGAAGGAGTTCAGGGAGAAGATGGAGGAGGTGGGGAAGATGAAGCATGAGAATTTGGTGCCTCTTAGAGCTTATTATTACAGTAGAGAAGAGAAGCTTTTGGTTTATGATTACATGCCAATGGGAAGCTTGTCCGCACTTTTACATGGTCAGTTCTTTTGATCTTTCACTTTCCTTTTAGCTTCTTCTTTTCCACTGATGCATTATATTCCAAGTGTTTGACATGACATCCGCTACGGATGTTCGAAAAACTCGATGATCCGAAAAGTCCAATTAAGTTTGAAGGTCGTTCTAAGTTGAATGTGTGAGTTGAGTTAGTTTCAATTAGGTTTGAAGGTCGTTCTAGGTTGGAATGAGGTTCGAAAACTCCAATGATCTGAAAGGTCCAATCAACTTGAGTAATTAAATACTAAATGTGTGAGTTGAGTTAGGTTTGATTAGGTTTGAAGGTTGTTCTAAATTATATTGAAGTGGATAGAAACGAAACTCTATGGGTTAGAGTTGGTTTTGAAAGTTGTTCTAAATTGGATGGAAGTTGATAAAAGTGGAACTTTGTGGGTTGAGTTGGTTCGTGGGTTCTCCTGTAATTAGTTTGTGTCAAGTCGAAAAAACTTAAACTTGAGACTTAATTGTTAATTAAAAAAAAAGGTTTCTTTTACCTGTCTTTTTTATTTAATAGTTCCTTTTAACTTTTTTTCTCTTGAACAACATGTTCTTCAAATTTAGTATAAAATTGATATTGAGTTATTAATAGGGAACGAATTTATAATTCGAACAATTGGGTTGGGTCCATAAAGTTACTTAATAATTGTGTGTTTACTTTGGAAAATACTAAATAGGTAGTAGAGAGTCGGGAAGAACTCCATTGAATTGGGAAGCAAGGTCGGGCATAGCCCTCGGAGTCGCCCGTGGGATTCATTACCTTCATTCTCAAGGCCCCGCCATCTCCCACGGCAACATCAAGTCCTCCAACATTCTCCTCACTCGATCCTACGAAGCCCGTGTCTCAGACTTTGGCCTCGCACAGCTAGCAATCTCCCCCTCAGCACCAACCCGTGTCGCCGGGTACCGAGCCCCCGAGGTGACCGATTCCCGAAAGGTCTCGCAGAAGGCCGACGTGTACAGCTTCGGAGTGTTGTTATTGGAGGTGCTAACAGGAAAAGCCCCCACACATTCCATCTTGAATGAGGAAGGTGTGGACCTTCCTAGATGGGTTCAGTCTGTGGTTCAAGAGGAATGGACAGCTGAAGTGTTTGATGAAGAACTTCTTAGGTACCAAAATGTTGAGGAGGAGATGGTTCAACTCCTGGAACTCGCTCTCCAATGCTCGGTCCCGTATCCCGACAACCGCCCGGGAATGGCCGAGGTCGCCCGACGAATCGAGGAACTCTGTCGATCGACCTCACAAAAACAGGGTGAGGGAATTGACAACGATGGAAACAATGGCATTTCCACACAGTTTCATTCAGTAAGCTCAGGTGATCCACCATCTGCAGGGTAGGGATGAAGTATAAGATTGAAAAATGGCAAATTTAGTTTTTTTTTAATTTTCTTTTTTGGTTCATTACTATTCTTGGGTTTATTTTCCCTTTTTTTCCTCTCTCTCATATTATACTTGTAATTTTTATAGATGTATTTTTTTTTATATGGAAATTAAGCTTTGTAAAAGTACTGTTCTGTTGGTATGTTGAGGGAAATGGGATTATGGGAATTCCTACATTTATTTGTCGTGTGGAGTGTGAACTGTGAATAACAAGTTTTGGTCTTTTATTTATTTATTTATTTTCTCAATATTCACTGGTCAATGAAACTCAGTGTTTGAGATTTTTTTTCCCTCAATTTCTCTATAATTTTGCATTAATGTGATATTTTTTTGGAACTAAATTTAGATTGTTAAAAAAAATGTATGTGGAATATTATTCATCTAAATTTTAAATATTTTGTTTCTGACTTGTAGAATATATTTCATTGAGACCTTTGAAAGAGATTAGTGGCTTCAATCAAATTTTTAGGCTAAAAATCAAGGCAAAAAAGAAATATACTCATCTCATCAATCAACAAAATATTAAAGATATGTTTCATTGAAACAATTTATAGAAATTAATACGCTACAATGGTTATGTTAATTGATTTAAATGAATATAATCGATACATATTTCTTTTAATTATACAATTATAAAAGAAAATATTGTAGAGTAAGTAATTAGAGAGCCAACATAGGTATATAACTCAACATTTGGTGTTTTGCACCTCCATAAAGTTTGAGGTTTAATCTCTCGTTAATATATTTATTAGACTAAAAAAAGAATTAGAAAGCTTAGAATTTTTTTCCCTAAAATGTCTAAGCTTTTAGAATTAGATTTGGACGACTTGATTTTAGATGTTTGGTTCGTCGTTATATTTTACGTGATTTGATGGCTAGTTTTAAACCTTCTACTAGTTAGACAAAACTCCTTTTTCACGTATGGTTCTTAGGGCTATTGTAATGCCCCAAATCTAGGATTCGGCACCTAATTGTTCCAGTATTCTTCTGCGATATGGCTGCGCCACCGTCTTTATCCAAACAAGTCATTTTAGCATGCTTTCTCCTCACCGAAAATTGCTCCAAGTTAAATATGCTTAACTTTGAAGTTCTTACGATTTAACAGCCGAAAATGGAGGTGCACCTTGTTAATATAGGTAGCGATTATCGATTTTTTAAAGTCTTTCTTAACCTCCTATAATCTCAGGATCCCTCTCATTCAGATGTGATACCAATTCATCCATGTACCCCGTCACAGTTATAATGAAATTCTTTTTATATAGAGTTCAGGATTTCGTGTTTGAGTTTGAACTTTTATTTTATGTGTTTGATTTTGTGGCTACATTTAGATATATTGAAATATGAGTTTAAATATTTATGTAACTTGATTTTAAATACTTTATTGATTGAATCCTATCTAATTTAGTGGTTGGTTTAAACTATATATTTGGCTGATCAATTAGGTAAAATGTCAAAATTGATTGGATTGAAAAGGGGTAATAATAGTTGGTTTAAAAGCATAATTAGTTAGTTAAAAAGAAGTGGAGAAAATAATCAAAACTCTCTAGCTTTTGCTTTCATTACAATTTAAATATACATAATATATAATATGTGTTGAAACTTTGTTGTTTTGGTTAGTTTGAATTGCATAATCATATGTAAGAGCTAATGGGGTGATCTCTTGCCTTTGAATTTTCTACCAAATAATTTTCCAACCATTATATTATTTTATATGTTAGAGGAGATATCATTTTCCTATATATGAAGCTATATGAATTAATCAAGCCAAACATGATCATTTTCTTTTTTTTTTTTTTTAATTTCATCATTATATTAAAATAAAAGTTAAACATAACTCTGTAGTAATGATCTCTCTTGCCAAAATGGAAAATTGGAACTTTAAGTAATGTTTTGGGAAATCTTTTTTAACTTTTTGTTAATTTTCGTTAAACACCCTTAATCTAAGAAGGTTAGTTGATGAGTTACAGTAAATTTAACATTTTTTTTCGAGATGGGAGAACCTCATGTTTTTTATTAGATAAAAAGTAAAAGTTTTAAAATAGATCTTTTTTTAAAAAAAAAAACTTTAAAATAGACCTATTGAAACCATGTATGAGAGAAATTATTCTTACCTAATATTTATATGTAATATGATGAGATGAGCCTCTCTAAATTTTATGATAATGTGCTTTCCAAACTCAGTCATTATTTGAACTACTTAGGAGCAGTTTGGAGCATCGATTCGACATCTTATAAGCTTGAGAATGATAATTTGGAAAGTTAAAGGAGAGAGTTTAGAAAATCTTGATTTAAGAAAACCATGTTTGATGGGGAGGTTTAGGGAGCTTGGATTAAATATTTACTTTTAATTACTTTTTCAAATATTATTTACTTTTTATCATTTTAGTATGGTCAAGTTTAAAATTAAATAACTTTCCTGTTATTCAAATGTAAGTTGGAAATTAAAATTGCTTTTTATTATTTTAACACGGCCAACTTAAAAATAAAATACATTCTTAGGTTATTTCAAAACGGCAGAGTTTTTATTTTTCTTTCTTTCTTTTTTTTTTTTCAAGTAAAACATGTGAAAATAGAGATTTGAAATCATGACCTTTTAGTTGAAAATAGGTGACTTAATTGCTGACAAATGACACAGTTGAAATATAAGTTGGAAATTAAAATTAAATACATTCTTAGATTATTTCAAAATGACAGGTTTTTTTCTCCTTTTTGTTTTAGTAAAACATGTGAAAATAGAGGTTCGAAATCGTGATCTTTTAGTGGAAAATAAATCACTTAACCAGTTGAATTATGTTGAAGTTGACGAGTTAAAATTAAAATACTAAATATTTATGTTATATGATTAAATCTAAAATGAATATCATACACATGCTTTCATTACTTTAGATATATCTATTTGAAAATAAAATATCTTCTTCAATATAACTAATTTAAAATCAATGATTTTTTATTTAATATTTTTTGAGAATATTTATTTTACTATTTTTATTTTAGTGAGTTGATATCATTTACCTTTGTTACTTTGAATATGACCAATTTTAGAAATAAATATGTTAATTTAAAATTAAATAGAATTTTTAAATTTTAATGAGTAAGTTGAAAATAGTCTAATCTTCTTTTCTTAAAACCACTTAATAAAATTTATCTAATATTTTTGAATAATTGTTAGTTTTTTTCGGAGGGAGAATAATTGTTAGTTAAATATGAATAAATGAAAAAAAAGATTTTTTAAGAAAAAGATAATATTGTTATTTGTTATAAGAAGTTTTAATTTAAAATAAATTATTGTTAGTGGTGTTCCAAAAACCACGAAAGTTTCCTAAAACTTATATTAATTTTATGAATTTTTTAACTTACATGATTATTGTAATCCATATAAAAATTTATAATATGATATTAATGTCATAAAAGTTCAATTCAAAATTGAAAATAACATTGACTTAAGAGTTTATTATTTATAGAAATATAAGATTTTTTTTTAGTTAAAAAGAAAGTTATGGAGTAACATAGTTCATATATTACAATTTTAAATTTTAACAATAACACTGCCTCAAATATATGTTCATATAATTTTTTTAAGGAAATGGATGAGAGAGAAGAGGAAAGGAGAGAGAGCTCTACAATAACATGATATTGTTCGTTTTCGACATAAGCTTCACGTCTTTACTTTCATTCACTCAAAAGTTCTCATACCAATAAAAATAATCACTCTCTTCCCTACATGTGAGACTTTGTTTGAACCTTGTTGTATCCCAACGTTATATTCATATCAAACTTTTAATAGGGAACGTTAAGAGTCGACAATTTTCACTTATTTTTTCATTAACAACATACATCTATGATTTGGAAAACAAATTCGGTTCTTTGAAATTGGCCAATGATTGTTTGTTTATTTAGTTATTTTGATTTGAAAACGAGTTTTGAAAGCATAACTTTAGCATAGTTCTCAAGTAACCTCTTTTATAGGTTGAAGGTTCACATTCTCATTCTCACATTTTAACACATGTTATAAAGAAAAAGAATTTAAAAGTTGAAAATACTACAATAACTTAGGGATATTCATGGGTTGTGTTAGGAGTCCAATTGTGCATGGCCGGCTGGGTCAGGAAACCCCGAAAAGGCCGACCTAACAGGTCGACGCTAGATACTTAGAAAACAAACCAGACGTCGAGGATTCATTTGCTAGGAGCAGAGGAGGGATCGGTCCGAGGCATAGACCGGAGGTCACTTGAACGAGTCCGACACGAGTAGGGAAATACCCGAATGGGACGCATATCTACCCCATCGACCCTTATAAATACACCCCCATCTAATGGGCCCAGGTATGAAATCTGTCTGAAGGTGATCTGTTTAGCTTAGATTATCTATTAACTTGGACGTCGGAGTGCTTGACCTCCTTGCAGGTGCCCCTGGAATCGCTCTAAGTATAGCCGATCGACCTCCCATATCGTCTTTCGTGCCTTGATAGATGTTCGCATCAACAGGTTGTAAGTTCCATTAGATTGAAATATATTTTAGACCCAACTCAATTATTTGAGTAGGAAATTTCTTGGACCTAAATAATCTTTATTTTATATAATAAACCCAATTGAAACCCAATCATAAAATATTTGAATTTGATTGGATTGTGTTCTATTGGAGTCACTAATTTTTCTATTGTGAATTCATCATAACCCAATAAACATGGGAAGAGGTACCTTAGTTTAGATCCAGCCCTGTTTTATCCAATTTTAATTATCCAAATAAGGGAGAAGGTGGATTAAATGACACTTTGCAAACGATTTGGCAGAATTTTACTTTGCAAACTTCGAGGGATTAATTGATCAAATTAAGAATCCAAAGTTACAATGGTAATAATCTCCATAGTTTAAACTTTAAAGATGTTTTTTGTAATTTTCTAAAAATTTTTATAGGGGTTAAATTGAAAGATTTCTCAAACTCTAAGGAAAAAATTAATATATATATGTATATATATATATATATATTTTTTTTCTTGCATCTTGATAAGACAGGTTTGAGAAGTAATATTAATAACTAAAATGTAATTTTATTTAAAATATAGTTAATGATAATCTGAGCATAATTCAATTGGTCAAGACATAAGTGGGAGGTTCGAAGACACACTCCCACATATTATTGAACTAAAAAAGAAAAACATAATGATAAAATATACATTTTGCTGTTTTTTTTTAAGATTTATATACGGTGATTTTGACATTTTATATATTAAAGAAACTAAAATTGCATAAATCCCTCTTTTTTTTTTTTGAAAAATATTTATTTGGTTGATCAAGACAATTCATAATAATCTTCTAGCACTCCATAAGATTTTTTTTCTACTACAACAAATAGGTAGAAATGATTCAAATGAGGGATTGAAGCTCCGATTTTTAAAAAGGAAGTAAGATGGCTTAACCGCTATGTTCATATTAGCCATAACAATAAAGTTAGTATAACTTATTTTGAGTACATAAAAATATAATATCTTATAATTAATATTATTAAAACAATCAAATTCTAAAAAAAGGTATGAATTTCGAAATTCATATTCATATTTGCAAACTAGAGAGTAGCTCAATTGATTAGAAACTTATATCCGAGTAAAAGGACGTGAATTCGAATCCCCATTTTTACATGTTGTACTTAAAGCAAAAAAGAATCTTATTTATATTTACCATTCATGTGAAATTAGTTAATTATTTATAAAAATAAAAATAATAGTGAGAAAAGTCTCGCGACGTTTAAATGCTAGAAAAAATATAATTAATAAAATAAATACAATTAGAAAAATTCAAAGGTACTCTCTACATACTCGCTGGCCTAGACACCCTTGATGAACCGAAAATGAAATAAAGATGTGATATATAACCACAAGTCATACCAAAGAAAGAGAGAAAAAAAGGTAATTATAAGAAACCCTTAAAAGAAGTGAAGAATGATCTGACACTCGATGAGCTATGAAGACCAAAGACTTATAATAAAGACTTATAATAATGCTCATATCGACGATCTCAATTTTATGAAAATGTCAATGAAAACTCCCATTAAATGATGATGGAGATATTTCTAGAAAATTTACAAAAATGAAGAAGTTCATAACAAAAAATATTTAAATTAACAAATAAAACTTTCAAAATTTTAAATAATTTTAAAAATCATATTATTAGTATCTTGTCCATATTAATGACATTTTATTGATTTTTGATATGTCGTAATTTTTTTAAAGATATAATTAATATTTCCACGTGGATGAAAATTTAATTAATTAATTTTTTAAGTCTATTGTTGCAATGGGCTATGTTAAAACTTAAGAGACAACAAGTTTCAGGCCCATTGATTTAGGCCTTTTAGAGAGAAATGATGGGCTCAACTGTCTTATTTATTCATGTAAATTATTGTAAAAAACTTGGAAATATTCTGTTTAATATTTATAGTTGAAGTTATTTCTTTTTAATGTCAAATACAATATTCTCATACAACAATTAATTTTGTCAATAGGTAAGGTTTTTGTAATCAGCTTATTTATATAAAAAAAATATATTATATTCTTCATCTAGGTAGTTGGTTTTGATCAAAGTTTCCATTCTATTTCTCATCTTTCAATTTGTTTTTTTTAAAGTATTTTGTTAATAATTTTTGTTAATCTGTTCAACAATGTTAAGGATCCACGTTGAAAAGAAAAGAGACCTAACAAGGGTTTAAAATAGAGATGAACTACTCCTCTCATTGTTAATTGGTTTTGAGATGGAACTCATCAATTTTAATATGGTATCGGAGTCCAAATCGCTCAAACAAGCATTTGATCTAAAAATGAGACTTGATCAAGATTGATGAACCAAAAGAGCTACGATCTTGAGGGACATGTTAAAGATCTCACATTGAAAAGAAAATGGACCTACCAGAGGTTTATAATAGAGATGGACTATTCCTCCAATTGATTTTGAGATAGAACCATTAATATTAATAAACAAAATTAATGAAACAATTGAGAGGAAAATTTTAAACAAACTATATAAGTCTTTTACAAGTTCTAACAATAGAATATTGAGAAGCTCCACCGCACACTTGGACACTACAAGTCCCCATCATCTTATAATTTTGCTAGTTTGATATCAAACAATGCTTAATAATTTTTAGCAATTTAAAAAAAAGCTACATGCATTTAGTTAATTTTATTTAGAGACATTCCTTTGCGAAAAAAAAAGATATCGAGAATTATTTCAATTGTTTTCTTTGACAATAATATATTTTAGTACAACATGTAAAGGTTGGAATTTGAACTTAGTTGTGTCTTGACGAGCTATACTCAAACTCGTTTGACAAATAACAAATTTGAATAGGCTTGATTTTTTTTTTTTTAAATTTTATTCTCTTTGACCAAACACATTTTACTTGAAAGAAACGCAACACATTGACAAGAATATTGTCCCAGATCACAGCGATCCACAAGTCCAAGATTCTTGGAAAATTGGCACTTCACCATCCTCATGACCCACCAAGAAGTCCCAACTACTAAAATCATCTTCCCAAAATCCGATCTCGATACCGTTATTACTCGCATCATTGCTATTAACCCACTCGAAATCCGAGAACTCCAGATCGTCAAACTCGATAGGATTTGTGTTCGAGGAAGAGGAAGACGAAGACGAAGACGATGAAGAAGTACTTGATGAAGAAGGCATGCAAGGATCTAGAGTTATTTGGGGCTCGATGATAGTTGTGGAAGTTGTTTCTTGTACCTCTTCGACTTCGGCGACGGTCAACGAGTCCAATGATGGCTCGGTGACGGGATGACGTTGGTGATGGGGTTGAAATTGATCAGTTGGGATTGAGATTGGTTTGTGAGTTTGAGGGTCGATGCCCATTTTTCTTAACTTCTTCTTAATGTGGGTGTTCCAATGGTTCTTGATTTCATTGTCAGTTCTTCCCGGGAGCTGTGAAGCAATCTTGGACCATCTGCAAAGAGGGAAAATTGGCTTTTTGAATCATTCAAAGAGATTTTTAAATACTATGTAATATGAAAAATTGTGGAAATTAAATCTCATAAAGTCAAAAGAATCCATTAGAGTAATGTAAACAAAATAATAATAATAATTTGGGAAACTTCCTAAAGATTTTACATATAATATTGATGTAAGAGAGGTACACGAGGCCATAAGAACTCCATAAGATAAGATTAAAAAAAGTTAATATTATTTTATTCACTAAATTTATGTACTTATTTTAATTATTTTAATGTCTGTCAAAGCGAGCATAGCTCAGCGGTAATTGATATATACCTCCAACTGCTGTAAGTTCTAATCCCTCCCCAACATGTTGTACTAAAAAAAATTATTTTAATGTGTAAATGTTCAAATATTATATTAATTTTTAAAAGATTTTATGTTACTTCATACACTCTATATATATAATAAATAAAAAGAAAGTTATTTAATAATATATAACTAGAATCTTTAAAAAAAAGTGTCTTATATGTAACTAAAACGACTTTTTTAATGTAAAGTTTGAAGAATTAAAATAACTTGTTTAGAAATTTAGAAATGACAATCCGTACCAGTTCTATGATTAGATACTATTATTACAAAATTCTAAAGTTTAATAGTTGGTCGTCTTATAATTGTTGAACTAAAATAAGTCAAGAATCAACGAAATAGAATAAATATAGGATTAGTTCCTTTTCCTATAGCCAAATCATTAACTAACAATAATTACCTTTCCTTTAAAGAAAATGAAATATCACCTTATAAATCAAAGGATTGCTAAAAAAAATACAAACAAAAAAAATCAAAGGATTTTTGAGAAGTGCTTTGAAATCCAAAGGCAAGTCACTAATGCTTAGTCTAAAAATTAATAAAATAATCATTATATACTTTATAGTATAACAACAGAGAGAAGAAATTAACTTTTATATAAATTATTCTAATTTTATTTCAAGCGTATCGCAGCTCAAACGAGAGTCGAAAATTTGAATATATCATCAATAACAAACTTTACTCGTATTTTGACCAATTGAATTATAGTGAAATGGACAGTTATAAAAAACAAACCATATATGATATCTCCAACCAATTAAAGTTATGCCCATACAATGAAATCTCAAACCAACACAACTTTATAATACGAAAGGTACAGATATCTAACCATTCGGGTCTAGGAAGAGAAGATTAGGAAGAGAGAGGGATACCTGTTACCAAGTTGAGCATGGAGGTCAATGACCCTTTTCTCCTCAAAATCAGAGAGAAGACCTCTTTTGAGGTCGGGTCTAAGGTAATTGGTCCATCGGAGCCTGCAACTTTTACCGCATCTCAAGAGGCCTGCAAGTTTAGGGACAGCCCTCCAACAGCACTGCCCATTGGTGAGGATGAAGTTTATGAGCTTCTTGTCTTCCTCACTTGTCCATGGCCCCTTCTTCAGCCCTACCTTCTCACAACATGGCTGCCTTCCCATTATTATTCCTACCAAATCTTTTTTCTTTTTTCTTTCTTTCTTCTCTCTTTTAGAGAGAGAGAATCCAAACTTTGATGCTAGAGAGAGAGAGAATTGAAACTTGAAAGTGTGGAATATGCCACCGCTACCTACATTTATATATCTCTTTCTTCACTTTTTTTATTTATTTAATATTTATTCCTCTCCTTTTAAATACTATTTTTTTTTTGGTATTTTCGGTTTTGGTTTATAGGTCTTTGTAATTTCAAAACGTTTATTTTGGTCTCTATACTTTTAATTTTTCGTTCACTTGAGTCGGAGGTGTACTTTCAAAACATTTATTTTGGTCGGTGTATTTTTTAAAATTTCCTGTTCTCTTTGCTATTTTAATTTATGTTTTTTATTGGTTACTTTCTGTTTTGGTTGATATTAGTTTTTATAATTTGAAAATGTCTATTTTAGGTATCTTTTTATCATTTTAGTTCGCAATGACATTTTGGTCATTTTATTTTTTTCAAAACTAACCATTTTGTTCCCTTCAATTTATTTTTTTTCTCATTTATTATGATCACAATTTTAGCATAACATTTCACTCACTTAAAATGTAGCGGTTAATTGTATTAAAGAGTTTCCATTGTTGATAAAATTTATGTTATAATTTTGTAAGGACCAAAACATACACTACTTTTTAACCGTACAAAGATCAAAACGTTCAAAGTCCATGAACTAAAATGAACAAAAGTTGAGAGTAATTGAACTAAAATTGACGTTTTATAAGTACTGAAACCAAAATGAACAAAAAGTAAAAATTCAGATACCAAAATAGTTTTTAGACCTTTATTATATAGTTTAATCTATTTTTGTTTTGCCTTTTTACTCAAAATTAAGAAATCAATCATTTGGTACTACCTTTTAAAAAAAAAAAAAAGACAAACTTAACTTCATTATATCACTTTTTTCACTATTTTTCACTTTATGACATGACAAAAGCTCTGTGTAACAAACATTTTTTAAGACATGGAATTTGGGAAAGATTGAATTTTAAAAAATTTGTTAATGGTTGAAGTCTAAATGCACTTTGAAATATTGAATTTTCACTCGGCAAAATTAATATTTATTGCATCAATTTTAACAGAACAATTAAAATTGAAGCAAGAGTAAGAATAAGGACAAAACTTGTTCAGGAGGAAGCTCGTCCGAAATCCATGTGGGTCAAGTAACATATAAACAAGTGGATTTTTTAATTTTGCATAATTCAGATTCATTTGTCTATATGGTATTAGACCACATAAGAATTTAGGAGGAGCTTCCCCCTGAATCTTCACAAGAAAAATTTTTTCTTGGAAGAATAACCATCAAACCTTTATATAATTTTCAATTCTTATATTGTTTCGAAATTACTACTCTTATATTCTATGAGTTTTCGACTATATTTCCCATTTAATGAAGGTATACTAAAGTTTTTTAAATATATATAACCAAAAATTTGAGGCATATAAATTATTTTTTATTTAGTCGCTACAGATAAGGCCAACACGGTAGATGTCTTTACGGGACGGATGTGTTTATTGTTAATCAAGGCGTGGTAAACACAAGATAGACTTTGACCCGACGTACTCAGAATCTCATTTTTTTTCTTTTGAGATGTTGAGTTTGTGCTAAGATCATTCGATCTCTCACCTAAATCTAACGAAGGAATGGTAGAATTAGCGATTTCTTCCCTTCTATCCTGTGAAACTCCTTCTTGTGCGTAATATAGTTGGTTAAGCTATTAGCCATAAATTTATTGGACAGAGTTATGTCAAAACTTTTCATTAAGTAATATTAATACGGTAGAGATTAAATAGAAAAGAATAAATATACATGCTCTCATCTAATCTTTTAATCAATTCTCAATTTAATTTTCAATCTTATAAAATTCTCAATTTTATCCCAAATGTATTAAAACTTCTCAATTAACTCATTTGAAAATTTGTCTAAATATATTCATTAACAAAATAAAATATTTTAGTAAAAAATCTAGAGGCGGGGATTTGAACTCAGAATCTTTTGGTCGGAGTTAACAAAAAATTAATGTATCATTAAATTGTTATTTCAATAACATATTTAGACATGCGAGTATGTCACTCAGATGCAACTTGACACATAAAACTGAACTCATCTATTAACAAAGCTTGACCCACAACACTCAACAAAATCTTTTTTTTTCTTTTCGAGTGACGTGTCCAAATGCCATGTCTGTGTATCCAAATACGCTAATAAAACAATAACTGAATATCACATTAGTTTTGTGTTAACAAATTTTGACCAAGGAGAACTCAGGAACTAAATAGAGAAAAACCTTAAAAATTAAGCACCATATTTAGAAATATAATCTAAAGTTTAGGGCTAATTAAATTTATGAAGAAACTAAAGTATGATTAGGAGTGAAGAGAGAATAAGGTATGTTGGGGAAGATGATGAGGGTTTTGATTAAAGGGATTCCACTAATGAATGTTTTTTCTTTTGTTGGTGTACTTGAAATTGTGTCCTCTTCAAAAGCTCTTCCTCTCCCACTTCCCATTTTGCTTTGGTTTCAAGTCTCACTTTTCTCTCACTTTTTTCTTTAAAGGTTCAAACAAGAAGAATAATTTGTGGGAAGAATTAGATTACCCATTATAAAAATAAAAAGTTTCATGAGTTAATTTGGTTTGGTTTGTCGGCCGCAGAAGAGAGAAATATTTTTGTGTTTCTAGACTGAAAGAGTTAGAGTGCGTTTGGATTAATTTTTTTAGGCCCTGTTCGGTAACTATTTTATTTTTTATTTTATGTTTTTAAAAGTTAACTTAAGCTTAAACATTGCTATCACTTATGTGATCTTTTGTTTTGTTAAATGGTTGTAATAAACATTTTAAAAGTGACGTCAAATTTATTGATAACAAAAAAAGCAAAAAATAGTTTTTGTTTTTCAAAGTTTGGCTAAGAGTTCAAATATGTTTTTAAGAGAGGTGAAAAACTTATTAATGAAATGGTAAAAAAGAAAAAAACATAATTTTTAATGTTGATTATCCAAAAAAGTGATTCTTTTAAGTGATTGACTAAACTATTTTTATAACAATGTAAAAATTAGTTTGTAGTTTGATTTTATATTTATTTTTTATGTATTAAATATATTTGAATTAATGAAATTATCTATTTATTTTTTAGGAGTAACATATGTAATGATTTGATTGGACAAAAATTAGTTATTGTTTGTTACCATTATTTATTGCCAACATTAAAATTATTGATGTTTTTATTGGAAAACCAAAAGGTTTATCCAATTTTAAAGACGAAGCCATTGAAAAATAAAAGTAAAATTTTGAGATATATAACTAAGTTTGAAAGCCTGATTTTAGTTTCAAGGAGAAGAAAAATTAAATCAAAGTTTATTATGTTAAATATGTTAAATTTATTTTATATCGTCCAAATTTCCTTTGTGTACGTGTTCTGATCTGTTCAACACTATACTTCGATTATGCTCCTTGAAAAGAAACGTCAGCATCCAATAATATTTATAGTTTCAAGGAGAAAAGTTTTATGAAACTATATAAGATATGGTAAAATAAAAAAAAAAATTATATTCTATTGTATAAAGATAGATGAACAAAAAATGTAGAAAATTATATATAAAATTTTTCTTTAAAATAATTAAAGAAAGCTAATGAAAAAAGAAATGTGCACAATGAGGAGAGAAAATTTCTCCTCCATAGATTTCAGATATTTTTTATATTCGTCGGTGTTCAAGCCAGCTAACATGCATCTCGATTAATCTCATAGGTGGTCATCATGAGATTTGAACTCATTCCCTCTTAATCCTAGTCCCTTTGGACTAATGAGCCACCCAAGATAGTTTATATATAACATAATTTTAAATCCAGCCCAGATAAAAATGTATGAAAAGTTGAAAACATTTGTCAAAATATCTCAATATTTTACATCTATTACCGATACACATGTATAAATGAAAATGGTTTGATTAAAAAACAAAAAAACAAGTGATCCTTTAACATTATTTATTATAAAATTTAAATTATTGATGTTTTTATTAGAAAATTTAAAATTTGAGATGTATAATTTATGTATATTTAAATGCTTAATTTTTTTTTTATCGAACTTCCAACCTCTTGGTTGGAGATATATGTCAATTACCGTTAAGCTATGCTCGCTTTGACATTTAAATGCTTAATTTTAGTTCGAAGGAAAAAATTATCTTTCAAATAAAAGACAAAATGTAACCATATAAAATATAGTAAAATGAAAATATAAAATTTATATTTGATTGTAACATTTTAAAATATAGATAAAGAAAAAAGTACCAAATTATATATAAAAACTTAAAAAATAAAATTAAAAAAAGTTAATAAAAAAATAAATGAGCAAAGTGGAGAGAGAAAGTTCCTTTCTGTATATATATATATATATTTTTTGACTTCTCTCTATAACTTATAGATGGATGTAGTAAAATGAAGATATGAACTTTATATCATTTTAAAATAGAGAGGAATAAAAAATATCAAATTATATATAAAAAGTTTCAATAACATAATTAAAGAAAGTTCGTGAAAAAAGGGATAAAATAGGGAGTGAAAATTTCTCTATAGTCCAGATTAAGGTTGCAATTTGTAGCTCTAATGATTAGTTATTACTAAAGATTTTCATCTAAGTAGGGTAAATTATTCAAAGGGATAATATATGCACCTTTTATTTAAAAAAAAAAATAAATAAAACTGGATTTAAATGAGAAAAGCAAATAAATTGAATCTTCAGAGATTAAAAAAGTCTTCATAGAATATAACAATCAACTCCACTATTTCCTTTTACTTGATCAATAAGTCTTTTTTATTTTTTTGGGCTGAAAGAAAATCATTGGTCAAAACTATTAAAAAATTATGAGCTGTGAAACTTGACATAATTTTCAATTTCAAATAATTTATCAAACTCTTCAGCCTACTTGTATATGAATCTTCAATCATGCACTAGAATTAATAAATGTCACACTTATTATACATCCATTTGAAAATTATATACTAGTTTTTTTTAAATAAAGGAAGAATATTAGACTATTTGTGATGTTGCATGTATGACCGTG